AAAGTACCGGCACTTAATATATCAATTAATAGTAATTGTAAAATTATATACCTAAACTATTTTGAATACAAATTTTTTTATTCGCATCAAAATACTGAAAATATTTAAATGACAGACCAAAACAATGCAACGTTTTGAAAACCATTGTACAATATCTGTATGTTGTAGCATATATACTGAAATTTTCTTACTGTTTCTAAATAGGTATATCTTCATCAGACATAATAAACCTAAAGTAACCATCATCATGAAATCATTAGATATAGTCCTTATGCCAGAAAAGCGGGACATTTTGACAATGAAAATAAAGTCGACAATGATGTTGTTTTGGAAGAAATTTTTCCTCTCAATATCAACAGGGATTTAACTTGAAATCTACTCAAGCTTTCTCATGTAATTATTGCATTGATGTGTAGGTACCCAAAACGAAATAGATTAGGTATTTCATTACCAACAAATGATATATTATATTTAAAGATGTTACGGTTCTAAACAGATTTATAACATCACAACATCAAGCGACCATAGATAAGTTAGAGTTACTAGAAATATCTACCAAGCTAGAAAAACACAAATTGATCAAAAAGAAATTGAAGCGTGGACACATTAAACACACGAGGAAGGATTTCGACAATATAAATCAACAAACACACTACAGAACAAACCTGCACCAACGGACAATGGACATAAACGAACTAAATAACAATATAGTAGATACAATTAAACAGGCACAAAACAGCTTCTGTACATGAACTGAAAAGAAAATTAGACAAAAAAATAAAATAAAATTGGGAGAACCAAGAGAAAAAGTAAGTGACCCAAACACGGAACCACACGAGATAAGAACACACAAAAAAAAAGTATCAAAAAAAATGATAAGAAAATACAAAAATTAAGAAACAGGACGAACAGAGATTCACGACTTGACTTGTTTTTCAAGCTACTTGACTTGACTTGACTTGATATCAAGTAAAAATCAAGTCAAGTATTTATTTTTGAAATTCAAGTCAAGTCAAGTAGTTACACATCAAGTAACTTGAAAATCAAGCTTTTCAAACTAACTACTTTTTTGATATTAATCGGATTAATTGCCAAAACGCAATAACAATGAAAATGTATGTATATATAGATGTAATATTTTAATTAAAAAACATCTAAAAGCGAAAACTCTAACAAACTCAGTTAAATAATAAATAAAATAATGTGATATAAAAATACGAAATATTCTTAATTCTGACAATAAAACAATAGAAAAACTACAAACATGAAAACAGTAAATATCCAAAATAAATCTTTAATATCCTAATTTTCCATCCATGATTTGAGACACAAGGCTTCTAACGGAGTTATTGTCTAATCGATTTCTCGTTTTGGTAAGCGTTAAGGCAGCTCTAGAAAACTGCCTTTCAACTGGAGCTGAAGAAGCTGGCGTTGCCAAAAAGTCTTTGGCCATTGCGGCAATATTTGGAAAAATGCATTCGTGTCTCTTCCACCATTCTAAAATATCTTCAGTACTGTCAGCTCTTGGGTCAGAAAAATATTTGTCGATTTCGTAACGCCAGGCCATATCCTCGTATGCATTATGGGCAGGTTTTCTATTAAACGAACTTAGTAGGGCGGAATAAAAAATCCTGCACGCAGGCACTTGACCCTCCAGGGACGGGCCTGGCTGTAACCTCGGTGAATCCCCTATTTAATCTCGGTGAATCCCCTATTTTAATGCTTCGATGCGCATTTCACGGATCGCTATCAAGTAATATCAAGTAGTTTGATTTTACTTGATATCAAGTCAAGTAGTTCAGACCGAAAATCAAGTCAAGTCAAATATCAAATTTTCAAAAGCTTGAGTTTTCAAGTCAAGTCAAGTATTTAAGAAAAAATTCAAGCTACTTGGCTTGATGAATCCCTGAGGACGAACCATCGAAGACAATAAAAGGATGAAAATCATGAGAAGAAAAACCATAAATGGCAAACAAGAAATATTCCAGTACAAAGACAGGAGCGGTAATATAGTAACGGACAGGGATGAATTATTACAGACTGTAGAAGAGTTCCATACAATATTATATTCGTCTCAGACCTGTAGCAATTATTTTCCTGATTTTTTTCTGATTCCGGAAAACAACCACTAAACATATAAGCACGGCAGCTTTTCATCAGTGGCATTGGGAAATGGGTTCAGATAATATTTGCTTGATTTTGACCTTGCCATTTGGACGCCACTAATTTTTTTAAGTGAGAGATTACTTACATAATTATTACAGTTTAAATAATGTTGAAATGTCAATAAAGAAAAAAAAATTAGAAAAACTTAATTTGAAAAGTACCTGAAACTGTGACCTGAAAATAAGAAAGATACTCTAAACAAATACTCAGTACTCCCCAAAAAATGAAACTTTATTTTCCTGGACAACAGTAAGGAACACACTGTACACTGTACAATTACACCGGTGTATAATATTGTTTAATTTTGTAATAATTAAAGTTATGAGAAAGTTATGAAAATTTAAGTTAAAGATAAATTTTGATATTGAACAGGATTGTTAAATATATATAGCACTATTTGGTTGAATTGTACTACCCTAAATATTTATATCACGGAAAACCTGGGGAAAATTCATGAATCTTCGGGGTTTTGGGGTCTTACTCAAAAATACCTGAATAATATACGCAATAAAAATAAAATAAAAAAAATACCAAATCGGCTATTCACATTATACCTTAATATAGATAAATCATTATTTCAAAAACTAAAAAAAATGTAAGAAAATGTTTGAAAGTTAAAGCATATTTTTTTTTATTTGGTTTTTCACTGAGCTGCCTTAATCTCTAGCAAACCTGTTAGATTTTCTATGCATCCATAAAGTCCCAAATCTGGCTTATTGGGCTCTGGACGAATTCGAAGCTGGATATTTTCTGCTAAGAGTAGAGATCAAATGGGCGCAAAGTGGACCAGAACTATAACTCCGACTAGTTGGTACTTGCACGGGTTGGATCTTCATTATAAAATTTGGAGACATTTTCCCCTTGGGCTTGACTCTGAACTTAGACTTGAATCGGAATTTAGACTTGGATTTGGATTTGGACTCTGATTTGGACTCTAATTTGGACTCTAATTTGGACTCTAATTTGGACTCTAATTTGGACCCTCCAATAAATTAGGAAGTGAAAATTCCAATGCGAATATCAGCAGCAATTTAATGTCAATCGAAAGCAAACTGGATAATCAAAAATGGATCTATAAAGATAAAAAAAAACCATAAGAAGATGTTAAATTCTTACCACGAGGCACGTGCAACTTACGCGAAATAATCATCCCAAATAACTCATAAAATCGCTCAAGAACCATAAATCTCGAAACTGGATCTACTGAGCTCACAAAATATTTTGTGGTCTCCGCCAACTTCTACAAATCTTGATAAAAATCAAAAGGGCGATACGGACGGATTTTAGAGTTTTCAAAGCTCTTGACAAAGGCTCCGTGACCACTGGTACCAAAACGAAGCCTCCCTGCTACAACCGTGAACCAAGTTCAAGGCGGTGGGAGATCCCCCGAAAAATATTCGCTGAACGGTGACAAGGCCATCCGTAATTTAAAATAGACCAAACACCAGGGTTGGATTTAACTGTGATGGAAAAATAGAAAAATTTGAAAATGGGTGAGCAAAGAGAAACTCCACAATAGCGGAATCACAAAAGTAATCGGTGATTTGTCTCATTTTTCTTTTATTTTTTTTTTTCTTTCTAGGTTCTTGAAGACACCCATAAGAAAACAGAAGTTGATGCCAGAGATTTCCCAACCAGAATTTACAGTTACCAAGATAAACATATTGTTTATTCATTAATTTATTTAATTATAATTAATAAACATTCTTAAAACTAAAATTGATTGTTTTACTATTTGTTCCAAAATTGTAGCATTTTATATGAATTTAAATTAGAGGAAAATGAAAATGCTACAGACCAACCAAGCATTTGAAGAACCATTGCAAAAGGTTCAAAACCAAGGCTCTGAAAACATACTTGACATTTCTCAGGAAGAATTATTACATTATGGAGAAGACGGCGTGGTAACAGAGGCTATAAAACTCGATGGGCCAATTTTGACGAATAAAATCTTGGGAGTCTTCAATTTGTGCCTGTGCAACCACGATATCCCGACCTTATGGAATAACTCAACTACTATATCACTCCATGAAAAAGGAGAAAAGACAAGCCTAGAAAATACAGATCAATTAGCTTGCTTAACCACCTGTACAAGCTTTATACTAGAATTTTAACAAACAGGCTAGAATCGAAATTCGAGTTCCACCAACCAAGGCTGGTTTCCGAGCTCGCTACGGCACCAACGATCACCTCTAACGTTTAAAAACCCTCATGCCGAATCGATTATCGATACCTACTTAAATATTATAAAGAATATATACAAAAACGCCACAACAGATACTACATAAAAGGTAGACCTGAAGATCAATTTTGAAAAAACAAAAATGGTGACTAACAAGCTTATAAAGGTCGATAACAACGAGATAGATATGGTGCAAAGCTACATAAATCTGGGTCACAAAGTGAGGATTGGTAGAGATAACCAAACAGTAGAATTATTCTCAGTAATTCTGGCAGACTTCGAGATGTTTTCAAAAATGATGTCCAAATTACACCAAAACGAAAAGCTGTCAACATGTGCGTCCTCCCTGTGCTCACTTGGGGTATGGAGACCTGCCAAGCCATCAGCGTGCAAACTACAAAGAACGCAACGTAAAATGGAACGCTTGATGCTTAGTATAAGTCTGAGAGATAGACTACGAAATGACACCATTCATAAGAAAACAGGGTTTGATGTTCTGGGGCGAATAACAACAGCAAAATGTTGATGGGCAGGGCATATTGCAAAATTTAACGATAATAGATAGACCAAGAAAGTCCTGGAATAACGACCAAGAGCAGACAAGATTTTTTATTAATAATTATTGTTATTACACGAATAAGTAATTTCTTACCATCTTCCTTTGGTAAATGTTCACATTGTCCAATCCATTCCTTCAAAATTCTCACATTCTCTTCGAATTCTGCTTCAGTTATTTTGAAGTGTTCCAATATAGCTTTTTCTTCTTCGGGCGTTACTTGAAGAAGTTTTGAGAGCTTTGACATGTTCTGTAAAAAAAAACACAATAATTCGATAACGTTAATGACTAATTCGTTATGCTGTGTGTCATACTCCGCTTAATAAAAATAAATGATAACGATAGAATTAAAATAACCAGATAATTTATTGATTATTGACATTGCCAAAAAAATTCTCAGGAAACAGGAATTTAACGAAAGATAACTCAATCATTAAAGGTCAACTTAGATAACCTGATTCATAAGAAAATCTAATGAAGTTAAAAAAATTCTCTCTGGTAAAATTGAGGCCAAAAAAAACTTACCATGACTTTTTTTTCAATCAAAATAACTGAAACCTACTCGCAAGGTATTGCGAAATGAATTGACATAAAAAGGAAATTAGGACAGTATATGTTAAAGGTGAATTACCGAAAAAAAAACATTTATAATGGGTAATGTTATAGTAGTCCATGTTTATAGAACAAAAAACACATGTACAAAATAATTGATATGACGTGTTCTAATCGCATATACCTACCTATTCGGGTGAAAATAATTTACAAAATTTCCGGAAACTATATTAGTATGTATATCAATTGAATGGTTGTATTTTGTCAAATTTTTTCCATTCTTCTGGACTAAAAACTTTATAGGATTAATAAATATTTATGAAAAATTCTCACCGTTTGTGTCCTTAATCAAGCTACACTTCACGAAACTATTTTATTCAGTAAATCTGAAATAAAAATGTCTTTGAATGGTAAACCGCGCAATTGCTCGTTATCCTTCATCTGCACAGTTTTATAATAGTTACGATTGTAAAAATCTAGGTCAAAACAAGACAATAATGAAGATTTTTGTATTTTGTAGGTAACTTTATTGCAAAACTGAAATTTATTATTTTTTTTTTAAGAAAAGATATAAATCTGAAGTATTTAGCAAATTATTTATATGAATTATTAGCATATTATGCTTTTGAGGTAGTTCATCAGTCATTTATGTCGATTCTATTTTATTTTCATCATTTATTTTTCTTCAAATAAACAATTTTTATTGTAACAGTGGATCTCCTTTTTTTAGGGAAACTATAAAAAGGGCTGAACATTGTACTAACAACTAATTATTGCTGCGGGGCCGGTATTGTTACGTAATCCTGCTAATAATGAAATGGGTTTATGAGTGAATTTGATTGTAAGTTAAGTGACTATGCTTCTGAATATATTAGAGTCGAGTGACTGTGGAGTAAATATATCAATAATTCCAAAAAATTCACGAACTGTCATTGTTCTACCTTCTAAAACGCATATAGAACTGGAAATCACAAAACACGAAAAATAGTTATTATTTATCAATACAAAACGTACCTTGTAATTATTTGTAATCAGTTCTTCAACTATTTCTTTAAAACTTAGGCAGTATTATACTATTCTATTAGAGATGAACACTTTTATTAAGACATTAGAGAAGCGGCTAGTTCAAACATTAATTGAAATTTCGCTTTTCACGGATCTTATACTTAAGCACAAAAAAAGCTAGATTGATCGTTTGACGTGCAGTTTTTTTATCCGATCCTGTAATTGGTAATTTTCGTATATTATTTGGAATTGTTTTTTCTAATTTGAATACGCATTGCGGTAGGTAATATATACATTAGTACGCATACAGAGTGGCCTAGATGAGAATACACTCAACGGCAAATATTTTCAAAAATATGTGAACAGTGGTGATAGGAAATTTTGGTCAATAAAATAGAGCCTGTACAGTTTTGAACAATCAAATTGATATTACAGCTAATCCCTCATCAACATCGTGAGACGTTTCGAGCCCACTACTGGACATAGGCCTCCTGTAAATCATTCCACTGCCTCCGGTCTTGAGCACTTTGCATCCAGTTAGGCTGGATGCGCTTAGTTTCGCCCGGCCATCTTATGAGAAACGCACCGTGTCTAGGACTCCATTCTAGTATTTTCGTAGTCCCTCTCACATCTCTGATTCTGGCGATATGACCTGCCCAGTTCCATTTCACCATTGTAGTTCTCTCAGTCCCAACTGCGTCTGTTACCCCCGTTCTTTCCCTGATGATATGATTTGGAACTTTGTCTCTGAGGGGCATATTCAACACTGATCTCTGCATTGCCCTCTGTGCCAATTGAATTTTCTTTATAACTTTTCTGGTTAGAGTCAATGTTTCTGCTCCAAGTGTTAGAACTGGAAGCACACATTAATCAAAGACCTCATTCCTTTTCAAGCACATAGGAATATCTGGCTTAAAGACATCCCTCAGTATTCCGTAGGCTGCCCATGTCAATTCTTTTCTTGTTCAATTCTGTGGTCTAGTTGTGTCTTCCTAATTCAATCTCTTGGCCTAAATATTTATAGAAATCAACTTGTTCGATTTGCTCGCCATACGTTAAAATGTTTTTGGCCAGTACGACGTTGGTCATGAATTGTGTTTTGGAGCAATTGATTTCAAGGCCAACTCGTGCACAAGAACTTTAAAGTGGGGTTTCACGATTTTCAAGAAATTTCTTGTTCTTGACTTGATCTTGACTTGAATTCAAGAAAATTTCAAGTCAAGAAATCTGAAACTATTTTCAAGACAAGTCAAGATTTCCTATTTCAAGATCAAGATTTCTTATCAAGAAACCAAGAAATTCTTTAATTTCTTGAAATACCTAAACAATTTTACAAGAGGCTGTAATAGTATATTGAAATACAAGTTGCAAGCTGCCACAATAGCCTTCTGCAACGTATGTATATTATACTATTTTCTCTTAGAGCAGTATTTTCCCGATTTTGTATTAGAACGTTTTTAGTTGGATATTATTCTCGCAAAATATGTCAGTTGGTAGGTACCATTTTACTAACTAGCAGATCTTCCTGATTTTCGAGCAGGTAGAACAAGTACAGGGTGCTGCAATTTGGAGTGCTTTAACAAGAAAAACATACTTCAAGACCAAGGTTGTTTGAGGGAGGTAGGTTGCCCGATAACTTTATGACGTCATCTGGGGACTAGGGTGCCTCAACATAATGCAAATCTCCATGAGGCATCCCAAATGCATCAACAAGTTACTCATTACCAAGCAACCTATCAACTTTTAGGAACCTTACTCCTAGAAAGAAGCGTTTTCCTGCGTCTCAAATGTTTCGAAACATTTTCCAAAACTGATTTAAGCAATGTCACCATGAGGTCATAATTTCTCGGCGCGAGAAAATGGTTTGAAAACGTGGATTGGATTATATTTCGAAACGGTTTGAACCAATTTTAACGTGACGTCATGGGTTTATCGCGAGAATGTACTGTTTCAAAACAGTTTTGAACCAGTTTCCAAAAAGTGGACGCGAGAAAACGCCAAGAGAAAAATTGACTTAGATGTCATGAGATCGATGTCCGAGAAATGTCGATTGTCAAAAACCGTACCGCGATCGCGATATCTTCAATGTGTTCAGTGGTGCCATTAATACAGGGCGATTTTCGATTTTTCCCAATTCTGAAAAATAGCTATAAAACTATGTTATTTATTTATCAATATTAGCTCATTGGATAGCTCTGCTTTTGCTGATTTTTCCTCGAAAACTGTTAGAGATAAACCTATCGTACCTACCTACTACGTGAAATAGTCATGACGAATACCACTCGAGAAAAAATTGTGTAGGCAAAATTGTTCTCAAGGTTTTATTCAAGTTTGTTGCTTTTCGGCAATTTCGCTCATGACATGTGTCATTCGCGAAATTGCCAAGCAACAAACTTTCATACCTTTCGAAAATTTTGCCGACAAAATTTTTTCTCTTGTGATATTATATATGACTATTTCACGTAAGATTTTGAAAATAAATAGAATGCAAAAATATGAATGAAAACTTCAAATTAAAAATATCAGTTTGACAATGTCAAAAAATGGTCGCTGAAATACCATGTTGTTGGTATTGTCCAGGTAGCAATATTGTCAGCTGAATACCAAATTTATTGCCGGTGTAATACACTTTAGTGAAATAGTCACAGAAATCACAAAAAATCATAAATAAAAAACTTATAGCTATTTTTCAGAATAGGAAAAAATCGAAAATCGCCCTGTATCAATGGTACCATTGAAGATATCGCGATACGGTTTTTGCTAATCGAAGCTTCTTGGAAATCGATCCCATGAAATCTAAACCAATTTTTCTTTATCTGGTCTGGATTGATGGTTTTTCTGTTGAATCGCTTCAAATTGCAGCACCCAACGCGTTTCCAAAGTGTTTTCGAGAGCGACGTTTAGAAAAACAAAGAAAGCTTTTTTTAAGTAATTTCAATAAATTTCAAGATATCTTGATTTCAAGTCAAGACTTTTGCTTTCAAGACCGCATCGAGTCAAGACATGTTCAATTTCTTGATCTTGAATTTCAAGTCAAGTCAAGAAATAACGTTCAAGTCAAGATTTCTCGTCTTGATGAAACCCTACTTTAAAGGTCTTGGAGAAGCTGTCATGCATGATCTATCTACTCTGTTTACAATAAGGACTATGTTGTCTAGTGCAGTGAATAGTTTAGGAGAGATGGTGTCTCCTTTTCTAATACCTCTCTCCAAGGGAAGTTTGGTTGGTGTCGCCATGATACATTCTGAGTGCAACTGTTATATCTTTATAATATATTCTGAAAAACGGTTGTGCCCCTATGGTCAATACTGCACTCTGTAAGATCCTTTGACATGGAGAAAGTGTTGGACTGAGTCAAAAGCTTTCTCAAAGTCCACAAATATAAATATCAATGATTTTTTATTCTACAACTTTCTCTATGAAGAATTTTATCACTTGTAGGTATGATCATCCCAAAGTCACTTTTAAATCCAGCTTGCTCTAGTGATTGGTCAAAATCTAGCTTAGGTCCCATTCTATTAGTAATTATCCTCATAAATTTCTTATATATGTAGATGAGATAACAGACTGATAGGTCAATAGTTTCCAATTTCTGTTAGGTCTCTCTCTTTGCAATTATGCAAGATTATCATGATGGCATTCTCCATTGTTCTGTTGTACTTCCTTCAAAGAGGCATTATAAAGAGTTTTTAGGGCTTTTATGACGCATTCACCTCCAAGTTTCATCATTTCAGTAGTTACAATCTACAATGCCATCTTCTCCAGAGGCTCTGTTATTCTTCGTGTATTTTCTGGCTGTTTTCAATTTTCTCTCTAGTTATATCTAGAAGTTCCTCTGACCCTTTGTTCTGTATTACTGGAATGTCTACATCTTGGATGGAATCATCCCGACTATACATGTTATCTCAAAAACTCTTGAAGACACTTTTCAAAAAAACACTAATTTATTTTAAAATATACAGGTTACAATTATTTTGGACATTAACTTAATAATGAATTAAAAGAGACAGTCTTTTATATTTTAAAGGAGCGTTACGACGATGAAGCAGTTCTTGACATGCCATGTTCAG